TCCGTCTTTCTGTGATCATTGATTAATTTAAACCTATACGCTAGGACAGTTTTGGTCTGATTTCATTATAGCTTGGCACAAAAGTAGACTACATTAAGATACATAATTTTGTATATTGGTATTTAATTTCAATGAACGATGCTGCCATGATTACTAAGTATTTCAAACCCTATTGCTATTTTCTCTCCTTTTATTAGCTCACCTGAGCCGAAGGCTCAAGTGAGCTTTTCTGATCACATTTTGTCCGGCGTCCGTCTGTCTGCCTGTAAACTTTTCACATTTTCGACTTCTCAAGAACCGCTGGGCCAATTTCAACCAAACTTGCCACAAAGTATCCTTGGGTGAAGGGGATTCAAGTTTGTTCAAATGAAGGGCCACGCCCTTATTCAAGGGGAGATAATTGGGAATTAATGAAAATTTAGTGGTATATTTTAAAAATCTTCTTCTCAAGAACCACTGTGCCAAGAAAGATGAAACTTATGGGGAAATATCCTCAGGTAGTGTAGATTCAAATTTGTTCAAATCATGACCCCCCGGGTAAGGGCGGAGCCAAAATGGCCGACCAAAGTTTTACATAGAAATATATAGGAAAATTCTTCAAAAATCTTCTTCTCAAGAATGACAAAGCCATAATTCATCATATTTATATGGAAGCATGCTCAGGTAGTGTAGATTCAATTTTGTTCAAATCATGACCCCCGGGGGTAGGGCGGGGCGAAAATGGCCGACCAAGGTTTCACATAGAAATATATAGGAAAATTCTTTAAAAATCTTCTTCTCAAGAATGACAAAGCCATAATTCATCATATTTATATGGAAGCATGCTCAGGTAGTGTAGATTCAATTTTGTTCAAATCATGACCCCTGGGGGTAGGGCGGAGCGAAAATGGCCGACCAAGGTTTCACATAGAAATATATAGGAAAATTCTTTAAAAATCTTCTTCTCAAGAATGACAAAGCCATAATTCATCATATTTATATGGAAGCATGCTCAGGTAGTGTAGATTCAAGTTTGTTCAAATCATGACCCCGGGGGGTAGGGTGGGGCCAAAATGGCCGACCAAGGTTTTACATAGAGATATATATGAAAATTCTTTAAAAATCTTCTTCTCAATAATGACAAAGCCATTATTCATCATATTTATATGGAAGCATGTTCAGGTAGTGTAGATTCAATTTTGTTCAAATCATGACCCCCCGGGGTAGGGCGGGGCCAAAATGGCTGATCAAAGTTTTACATAGAAATATATAGGAAAATTCTTTAAAAATCTTCTTCTCAATCATTTTCTAAAAAATAGCAAATCCATGATAGGTCATGGGACTACTTTTGGATTTAAACTTTACAATAAAAAGCCATTTTATACTAGTCCTACCCTTAATTGGTGCTCAGGTGAGCGATGTGGCCCATTTGCCTCTTGTTAAAAGTACTAACCAGTAGAGCCTATCTGAGACTTATGCTTTTCTCGCTGTGCCATAATAAAATGAATTTGAAATAAAAATATACAATTACCTTAGCCTTTATATATTTTTACAGCAATCTTGCTCTAGGTGCAACTCCTTCCTCGTAGAAATAAACGACCTGGAAGAAAACACCTGGATTACTACAAACATTTTAAACGCTGTTTGTAAGAAAGTTACAGTTACCTAAGATTTCTTCACATTTCATTTATATTTAAACAAACGATTAGATTTTTTTCCAAAATCAGCAATGAAATACGTAAAAACTGTCTAATCCGACAAACTTTGACTTTCTTACCAATTTACTATTTTCCATGTTTTTATCATTGACAATCCGGCACCTGTATATTCCGACACAAAATTTGCCTCCCAGTGCATGTCGGATTAGACAGGTTTTATTAAGGGGTATTCTTACTTCATGGAAGGATATGGAAATAACGAACAGTATTCAATCTCAACGTCCATTAAACAAATATACAAAATAAGAGCAGAGCAAACACGGACCTCCGAAACATCAGAGGTGGGATCAGGTGCCATGGAGGAGTGAGCATCCCCTGCCGACCGGTCACACCCGCCGTGTGCTCGTTGTCATAATCAGGAAATAACGGAAAAAATCCGTGGTCAATTCAGTGTATAAATAATAGACTAACAATTGGTATGAAAAACGTCAGTCAGCATTTCATTCAATGATAAATTGTATTTGCTGACAAGGTCATTGTATCGACCATAGAATTTACGAAATGATGACTTTAAACGAGACTGTTGATATTCTTGTTTCATCAACTTGCTTGTCAATAATTTACCTCGTTTAAGAAATTGTTCATACGTAGAGCATGCTCTTGCGTATCGAATCAACTGAGATATAAATACTCCGTATGCAGGTGATGAAGGTATATTGCTGCATAAGTAAGGGAAGTTGACGATAGAAAAATTAAAGTCATCACGTTTATCATATAGCTTGGTTGTTAGATTACCATTTGTGTCTTTTTCAAGTAAAATACCCAAGTATGAAGCAGAAGTGTCGGACTCTGTGGTATCTTTTATCTCAAGCTCACCAGGATATATCGTGTTGACGTAGGAATGGAAATTATCATTATTAATTGACAATACGTCGTCGATATATCTAAATGTCGAGTTGAAGGCCACAGCAAGTGTTTTTTTCTTTTCACGCAAAAGATATGAGTTCGTTTCTCGTCAGCTTGTAGCAATCCTTACAATTGTGCAACATGGACCGGGGGAAATGACAGGGCGACAGAGGGCGTTTACGTCTGGGAACACTCAAACACGACGATTGGATTGACTAACTGGAGCAGCGATAACCCGGACAACCACTTTGTTCCAGAACAAGAAATAGATTGTATCGACATTTTTTATAACGGAGAGTGGAATGACCGACCATGTTCTTACTTTAATGCTTTCCTTTGTGAAAGGGAAAACTAATGAAAATATAAATTTATTGTCCCTATGCTTTATTATACAGTTAAACGAATCGTTAAGACTCTAGAGTGTATTCGATTAAGACAATACATGTCACACTAGTGTTCACTACGCGCATGCTTATAGTTGATCTCTAGAAATCAAATAAAACAAGTCTATTTGTACAATGTTTATATCCTGAAAATGTGTTGAAAATCTGTGTTCAATGAATGTGAATTTTATATTTCAGCAGACATTCTCAAAACTGGGTTATCAATATCTAAGAAATTTTTTGTGAAAATGGATTTGAAATTATCTGGTTTGAACAGGACAAACAAATGATTATTTATAAACAATTTCCCATTATCAAACAAAAAATTTCAGATAATTTCATCCAAAACCACATAGCTAAAATTAATTATTAACCCTTTCACGTTCGTTTTGGTCAATACTGACCGATAAGCCCTCTTTTTTCTGACATGTTGCTGAAAAAAATTAATAGTTTCGCTTAGAATTAACGGATTTCAAAAAATCAAGTACCATTTTAATCGCGAGACTCTGCAAAATTTAGTCATATGTAAATCAATTATGAAATATAAATATTTTATGTCTTAATTAATTGTTTATTCTGACATAACTGCGAGAACAAACTCCGAAATTGATTTTTTTTAACGTGCGTTGTCTACAACTTTCCTCGTTGTTGCAAAAAATAGAAGTAATGTTTCGACATAAAACCTATACTCAAAAAATGAGGAAACTTTGAAGAAACTATTCATATGATTTTTTCACAGATATGCAATGTAAGAATTGAAAAATTCTTGGGTTTAATGCAGTAGTCAAACTGGCATTGGCGTAAAACATAAACAATAGACTATAAACACGTATCGATAAAAAGTAAAATCGCAATAGAAAAATGTAAATTCAGTTTTGAAAAGTAGAACAGTGTAGCTTTTATTATGTTCCCCAAACGAAGTTGGGGAACCTATTGTTTTTACTCTGTTTCTTCTTATTATTATTATTAAGGTCTTCCGTATTCACGGAAGACCTTATAGTGATTCCACTGTTTCTTATTTAGGTCTTCAGTCTTCACGGAAGACCTTATTAAGGTCTTTCGTCTTCACGGAAGACCTTATAGTTATTGTACTGTTTCTTATTAAGGTCTTCCGTCTTCACGGAAGACCTTATAGTTAAGGTCTTCCGTCTTCACGGAAGACCTTATAGTTATTCTATTGTTTCTTATTATTATTATTATTATTTTTTTGACTTTCTAATTTTGTGCACGCGATTTCTCGAAGACTACTGGATAGAATTACATGAAATTTTCAGAAAAGATGTGCCGTTACATGAACTTGATCTATCTGAGCGATTTTTTGGAAATTCCCTTTTGGTGCCAAGTTACGGGACTTTTCCTGATTTTAAAATGACATTTTGTCTACGGATAATCTCAAGAACGGTAAATGATATCGAAGTGAAACTTTCAGGGATTATAGATCATGATATTCTCTTTCCAGGACGCGACCTTTCGTTCATCGTCAATACTTCCGGTCGTTACGACAAGCGAATTAAAAAAATCGTATTTTCTAACTTTCTTGTTTTTCAATATTTTTCATATCTTTTTGGAATACTAATAGAGACACTTCTGAAAAGGCTAAATATATAATTTGTTTAAATATTGGTAAATCAAAACTCTAGATATAAACATTTGAAAGTCTGAAGCGTGTCCAAAATGGCGGTTGTCTCTGTCAACTCCGCCATCACGCAAGTCGGGGTTTATAGAGGCAGCCGAGCGTTTGCTTAAACAAAACTAACATAAGGATAAATGTAATGTAAAAGACTACTTGGATTGTCGCGTAGTAGTTACGTTGCAATTCTGTGTCAAACTCAAACTTAATCGCCGTTTTACTGCTTTAGTGTTACTGGGCTAGATACGATATGTAATGTGTACAATGTGTTAAATATACTTAGGCTGTTTAAAATTAAAACTACGTTTAACGTCACCCGCGCGCATAGGTTTATGAGAAATTCGTCTTTGAAAAAAACAAACAATTCGGAATTCCGTATGTCCGTTCCGGTTTGGTTCTTCAATTAGCGACTGAATTCTGCTTCCCGTAGTGACAGAAAATGTGCTTGGATAGCCGCAGTTAAGGCAGTTGGTGTCTTATTAATGAAAACTAGAGAATTAAAGAGTTTGGGACCATAAATGTAAGTAAAAAATAGATTATTTTATGATTATATTAATGACAAAGTCTTGTTTGTTGATTTTTTTTTGTCAGTCTTCGAATCATATGTACAGACTGACAGTGACAGACTCTCAGTTCGTGATTCTATTGGCTGAACTTTTCATTGTATTTTGGAGAGAATCGAAAAACTTTTTTTACTGAGTGGAAACTGTGTCAAAAACCAAGATTTATATACAGTGAAAAGCATCATTTAAATCTTACTAATATGTTTCATATTAAAAATATTTCTGTAAAAATCGAAAGGAACAGTAATGAGTAAAGTAATTGATTTCTTCATAATTTATGTACCTACAAATAGCTACAATTTTTGGGAAAGATAATATACTTGTCATTACCATTTGAGCAGGGAGAAGCTTACCGAAGATATGGCCTTTCAAGTGAAGGAGAGTAAGGAAAGTGGTTGGGGTATTCCAAGATGTGAAGAATCCTGTCTTTTGTGTGGAATTCAAGGTATTAAAGATAATCTAACAACTATCATTATGGTCCAAATATTAGTATGCACACTTTCAAAACTTAATGCTAGTAGATCTAGTACTAAGAAAAAATATGACATAATTCAATTTGAGGATATTTCAACATTGAACACTTTTAAATATTGTCATCAATAATTTTGATTGTAGATATTGATCAACTTTTCCCACAAGAAGAAGCATTTGCCTCCAGGGTACCATGGACGTGTGGCAATATAAATCCAAAGGACAACTGAGGCCTAGTTAAAAGCCACTTTCCTGCACATTCAGTCTCAGACTACATTGTTTGCTAACAATAGGACTCAAACTGATTTACATACTAAGGAAAAACTCTGCTAGGGAAATTAATCTTAGGTGTCATATCAATTAAATGCTCTTATTACTTAATTGTAATGTTTTTAATGTACTGAATAGGTTGATTTGAATAAATTCACAATTGTTTGAAAATTTTGTTTGTTTATTTTTTTCCTCCCTCCCTCGTAGGTTTTGAACTTTAGATGTGACGTTAAACGTAGAATTAACTTTAAACAGCCTTACTAAACCTCGAAATAAGATATAGGCGATACGAACGTTCTATTTTTTTTATTTCATTGAAGCAATCACACCTATTTAAAAGAACACTACAAAGAAAAGACGCGAATATTTATTCGCGGCGTCTAGCTCAAAATTATGAATAGTGACCCACTTTTCATAATTCTAAGACTGATGTACTGTTGTAGAAGTATAAACAAGTAAATTAAGAGCAGAGCTCCAAAGAGCGTAATGGATAGGTTGTTGGATTTTCACGCTTACCACCCAGGTTCAATCGCATGTGTATCAATTTTTTTATCCACATTTCAGCTCAATTTTACATGGAATATTTTCCGAATCGGACGGAAGACCTCTCGTTGCTAGCAACGAGATCGTTTCTAGTTATTCTACTGTTTCTTATTATTATTCTTTTTATTATTTTTTTTCCAAAATTTTGTGCACGCGATTTCTCGAAGACTACTGGGTGGAATAAAATGAAATTTTCAGAAAAGATGTGTCGTAACATGAACTTGATCTACCTGAGCGATTTTTTGAAAATTTTTCTCTGGTGCCAATTTACGGGACATTTCCTGATTTTAAAATGACATTTTGTCTTTGGTTAATCTTAAGAACGGTAAAAGATATCAATGTGAAACTTTCAGGGATTATAGATCGTGATAGATACTAACCAGGACGCGACCTTTCGTTCGTCGTCAAGACTTCCTGTCGTTAGGATATGCGAATTGAAAAAAGCGTATTTTCTAACTTTTTTGTTTTTCAATATTTTTCATTTATTTTTGGAATGTTAATAGAGACCCTTTTACTGGTGTTTACTATATAAGTTGTTTGAATATTGGGTAATCTGAACTCTAGATATTAATATTTGAAAATCTGAAGCGGACCCAAGATGGCGGCTGTCTCTGTCAACTCCGCCATTTCGCGAGTAGGGGTTTATGGGGGCAGCTGAGCGTTTGATTAAACGATTCTGACATAAGGATACATGAAATATGAAAAACTACTTGGACTTTCACGTAGTAGTACGTTGCAATTCAGTGTCAATCTTAAAACTTAATTTCCGTTTCACTGCTTTAGTGTAACTGGGCTGGGTACGATATGTTATGTGTACAATGTGTTAAATAAACTTTCTTAACGTTGAAATAAAATAAAGGCGATAAGAACGGTTTATTTATTTACTTTCATTGAAACTATCACATCTATTTAATAGATCAGTCCAAAGAAAAGGCGTGAATATTTACTCAAGGCGTTTGGCGCGAAATTATCAATAGTGGTCCGCCTTTTATAATTCTTAGACAGGTATTCTGTTGCAAAAGTATACACAAGTATATTAAGAGCAGTGTTCCCAATAGCTTAATGGTTTGCGCATTGGGGATAAAAGAGAAAAAAAAAAGCGCATTCACGTTGGCGACCTGGGTTCAATCCTCCTTGTGACCAAAATTTCGAAACACTTTTCAGTTCGATTTTACGAGGTTTTTTTCTTGAATCGGACGGAAGACCTCTCGTTGCTCGCAACGAGATCGTATCTAGTTAAGGTCTTCCGTTTCCAACGGAAGACCTTATTGTTTTCGTTCGGTTTCTTTTTCCCTATTATTATTTTTTTTCTTACCGATTTTTGTGCACTCGAGTTCTCGGAAACGGCTCGGTCGATTTTCACGAAACTTTCAGATCTGATAGATATTGATCTGAACCTTATTGGAAATTTTTTATAAGTACGTCGTCACTTCCGGTCGTGAGATTTGAACGATTTACTGATTTTAAGAGGGTCGGCTTGTCCAGATAACTCCTCCTAAACGACTTAAGATATTGAGTCAAGATTATCAGTGAAAGTAAAGGAAGGTTTGTTGAGTTGTATATGGGTGTCCAAATTTTTCTGGCGCAAAAGGTACCGGAGCTCGGTCGGGCCAAAAAAATGTCTCAGAAACATCTCACAAAATTTGACACCTTTTGTTTCATATCGTCTTACCTGTTCACAATTTGTTAAAGCATATTGAAGAGAAGTAAAGCAGAATGTTAAGAGCTTTCATATTATACCAAGAAAAGGGGGCTGATTCCTCAAATTAGGGTCTCAGAAGGGCCAAAAGTCCTTTATTGATATCTCTTTAATGAACAATATTTTGTTATAAATTACTGAACAAAAAATGTATATCTTTACGATCTGCAACAATATATTGAACAATTGTGATCATAGTTACGTAATTAGGGGTCATAAGAGGAAAAAATGCTAAATCTTTGATTCTTTATATCTCCAAAGGGACAAATATTTTGATAAGCAGTATTGAATAAAAGATGTTCAGAATCGTATTCTAAAAATATACAACCATTTAATTTTCGAAAAAAGGCCCCATTAAGGGTTGACCCCAAAATATTTCTATTCTGCACAGCTCGAAAACGAGAAGAAATTCTGAAAAGTTGTTTGAACAAAAAGTCTTTAAAATCCAGAGCCTCATCATTTCATATGAAGAAAAAGGGGCTGACCCGTCAAATAAAGGGCCTAGAGGGGCCAACAGACTTTCATCTATAGACGTCTGATGATATATAAATCAAACAAAATAAATCAAATTAGGGAGTCTTGATATCATCATGTATTAACAAAGATCATAGGGAAAATATCTCGTCTATTCGAAAATTCGGACGGAAGACCTACTCGTTGCTCGCAACGAGATCGTTTCTAGTTATTTTTATTAAGGTCTTCCGTCTTCACGGAAGACCTTATAGTGATTCTATTGTTTCTTATTATTATTATTATTATTATTATTATTCTTATTTTTCTGACTTTCTAATTTTGTGCACGCGATTTCTCGAAAACTACTGGATGAAATTACATGAAATTTTCAGGACAGATGTGTTGTAACATGAATTTATAATATCTGAGCGAAAATTTGGAAACTCACTTCCGGTGCCAAGTTACGGACAATTTCCTGAAATTAAAATGACATTTTGTCCACGATATAACTTTAAAATGGTAAGAGATATCAAAGTGAAACTTTCAGGGATGATAGATCGTGAAAGATACTAGCCAGGACGCGACCTTTCGTTCGTCGTCAATACTTCCTGTCGTTAGGATATGCAAATTGAAAAAAACGTATTTTTTAACTTTTTTGTTTTCCAATATTTTTCATTCATTTTGGGAATATTAATAGTGACTCTTCTATAGATGCTTACTATATAATTTGTTTGAACATTGGTTAATCTGAACTTTAGATATTAATATTTGAAAATCTGAAGCGGGCCCAAGATGGCGGCTGTCTCTGTCAAGTCCGCCATTTCGCGAGTAGGGGCTTATGGAGTCAGTTGAGCGTTTGACTAAATGATACATGGAAAGTAAAAAAACTACGTGGACTTTCACCTATTAGTACGCTGCAATTCAGTGTCAATCTTAAAACTTAATTACCGTTTCACTGCTTTAGTGTAACTGGGCTAGATACGTGTGTACAATGTGTTAAATATACTTTCTTAATGTCGAAATAAAATAAATGCGATAAGAAGTTGTTTTTTTTTAATATTTAATTTCTTTGAAGCTATCACACCTATTTGATAGATCAGTCCAAAGGAAAGGCACGCATATTTACTCGTGGTGTTTGGCGCCAGATCATGAATTATGGCCCGCCTTTTATGATTCTTAGACAGGTGTACTGTTGCAGGCGTACTGTATACATAACTATATTTAGAGCAGTATTTAAAGTTTATTCGTTTTTCACAAAAGTAACCACTGTTGTGTTTCCCGTGCACACTTGAGTCATATTAAAGTAATACAAAAGACAGAAATATGAAAACCTTTTTTAAATAAAATCGTCTAATGGAGTTTATATTAACATTCTTTTCTCAAAGATATTTAAAGTTGAACATTGAACATTGAACATAAATGAAATCTGATCCCTTGACCGTCGAAGGGCGAGACATATGTTTCATCGAACCATTTCTACCTTTTCATGAAGGTGTAAAGAATCGGGTTAGTTCACTTTGGGGATAAACGGATAATTAAAAAAAGTAAAAAATGATTACCATTTCACTTCTTTTGTGTTGCTTACCTATATAAGATATAGAATATGTACAATCTGTTAAAAATATTTTCTAAACCTCAAAATTTAGGCTTAAAGAACGTTCCTTTTTCTTTATTCTATTGAAGCTATCACATCTGTTTAATGAAACATTCCAAAGAAAAAGGTGCGCAGATTAACTTGTTGCCTTTGGCGCAAAATAATAAAGAGTGGCGTGCCTTTTTTGATTCTTAGACAGGTGTATTATTGAAGAAATATATATTCAAGTACATTTGGAGCAGTGGACTCAAACGCGTGATGTGAGCGTGTTGGGAATAGAGAGGAAAAAAGCGTGTCGGATTTTCACGCTGGCGACCTGGGTTCAATCCCCTTTGTGACCAAATTTTTTATCACTTTTTCAGCTCGATTTTAGGTTCTTTTCCTGAAACGGACGGAAGACCTCTCGTTGCTCGCAACGAGATCGTTTCTAGTTATTATTTTTTTTTTGACTTTCTAATTTTGTGCACGCGATTTCTCAAAGACTACTGGATGGAATTATATGAAATTTTCAGAAAAGATGTGTCGTAACATGAACTTGATCTATCTGAGCGATTTTTTGAAAATTCTTATCTAGTGCCAAGTTACGGGACATTTTCTGAAATTAAAATGACATTTTGTCCACGATTAAACTCAAAAACGGTAAAAGATATCAACATGAGACTTTCAGGGATTATAGATCGTGATATTTACTATCCAGGACGCGATCTTTCGTTCGTCGTCGGTACTTCCGCTCGTTAGGAGAAACGAATCAAAAAAAATGTATTTTCTAACTTTTTTGTTTTTCAATATTTTTTATTTATTTTTGGAATATTAACAGAGACCCTTCTATTGATGCTTACTATATAAGTTGTTTGAATATTGGTTAATCTG